CTCTCTCTCTCTTTTACAGATTTTTTTGAGTGATGATGTGCTTGGATGAGATGGGCTTGGAATATATAAGGCTGTTTAAGCGGTGAGATGTGATTGGTGGCTTTTAATCGACGCGGATCGTGGTTCTAAACCGTTGATAAGATCGACATTCGGACGGTCTAGATTGGTGCCATATGGAGGTTGGGGACTTTCTGCGATTGGTTGGTTTTGGGGGGTTCGGATTGCTGGTTATGGCCGTCGATATAGTCGAGAATATACGGTGCAAGATTTTGCATAGCGAGTGAGCATAGGAGAGTACTGTCACGTGCGTAGTCCTCATTAATTTGTCCAGGCATATACTTTTATTCAAACAAATATTTTAATAATCAAATAATTAATGTTTGACTCATCTAATAAATTTTTGTTTTCTTCGTACATATAAATTAAATTTTGTAAGCACTATTCATATATGCTATCATATATTACGTGGTAGGGGCGAATTAAAAAAAATGGAGGGAATTGCTCCCAATGTTTTCAGATGAATTTAGAAAAATTGGAGGGAATTAGACCAAATGTTTTGGAACTCGAATTGGTAATCCGTTAAAATTGGCTTGTAGGTTTTCGGTTCAAATGTCGGGTCATCGGACTAATTCCTAAACTATATATCTATTTTGACGTTTTTAAATTATGTTTATACTACTTATATCTCACAAACATACATAAAAGTAACAACAAAAAGATAATTTATATGTAAATTTTACAACTCAAAGTATTATTAATATTATATCTCGCCATAAATATATATACATAATTTTGTTTTTAAAATAAATAATTTATTTTTTATAAACAATAATATGTATAAAGTCCGTATTAAAACAAGTTGACGGGGTTGGGTCCATATCTTGCATATCAAGTTAATGTTGGGTAGACCAAGTTCATTGTTGAACAACCCCATTAACCCACTCGGACTGTTCTTGACTCCGAGTTGATCGGGTACCGGCCGACCATGGTCACAAAAATATGAATGCACCTGCAATCAAATCGTTTCAAAGACTAGTTCAACTATAATCTATACATGTAATCAAATACTTCGAATACCGACCACTAGTGCTTCAATTGGGTGAGTTCAAACGCTAATCCGAATATACGTCTAATAAAAGCTTCAAGACCTTACCACCGTCGCTATTGTTGGTTAACTATACTTGTAATCAAAGGTTTCCAAAACCTTACTAATGTCGCTTTAGTTGGCATGTTCTCCTCAGCTCGCACCCTTACTTTTATTCGTCTCGGAGAGTGAGGCTACCCTGTATGTCTTCCCTACCTACCATCAACGATAGAAAGAGGACCGTCAATTAGAAGATTGGTCCAACTAAGTCATATTTTTGGTACTCGAATACTTGTTGGAATTGCAAATTGGAAAGGGAGCTTGACTCTCAAACTAAACCTAGTATATGAGTACCAACAACTACTTGTGGAGTGTTATAAGTGTGGGCTTTGTCTTCTGCCCTCACGACCTGCGAGTATTATCATTTGACTTGCTGGCATATTCATCAGTTAACCCATTCATTAGTAGCGCAATTATGAACACTATTGTTGGATAATGTATCAAAACTGGTCTGCTTGCGCACGATAGGCTAGGGTGGATGGGCGGTCGACTGTGCGGTTGAGCGGCGACACCAGAGGCTGGGCGACCGGCTGTGCGGCAATTTGACAGAGATTGACGGCAGAAGGTGATTGGTGGCTGGTTCGGCTGCACGTTAATGGCATGAAGAAGAAGATGATATTACATCTTACTGCGAAATTAGCATCATGTCCTCATTTTATGTCACTCATTTGGGATTTGCTATATGTGGCAAATTGCCGATTGGGGGCCTTTTCCGGTTCGAAACTGTCAGTTTCAGGTTCGCAGATGTGAACCAGAATCGTCCCAAGTATATATATGTTTACTGAACTGGCAGTTCACTTAACCCGTGGTTCAATGATTTAGAACTGATTCATCTGTTTTGGGTCGAATCGGTTAATTTAAAATAATAAATAAAAAATAATAATGTTTGTTTAAAAAAATTAATTTTAAAATTACCTGAACTGCCAGTTTTGATTCCGACTCAATTTGTGGATCTGAACCGTCCCTGGGAAAACCACAGACTAATTCAAGGCCCGCGGTCAACGAGCTTGACTTGACTGATTGGGCTTGTGGACATGTTTATGCTTGGCAACCAACAATGTTGTGGGAAATTTTTATAACTGGCCCCCTTTAAGAAAAAAATTTTCCGTAACAAATACCGGTCATACACAATTCCATATATACTTGAAATTAGTTACAATTAGTCCAATAGAAAAAAATTATAAAATAATTAGTAACTGCTTTGCCGGAAGTTACAAGCAATCTCTCATCCTGTTCGAATTTTTCTTTCTCTCTCTTATTTCTCTTTTTTCATCATCTTTTCTCTTTCTTCTTTCCATGTTTCTCCTTGTAAATTTTATCTCTCTCCCTTCATCTTCATCTGCAAACATGAATTCCAAAGAATGAAAAATTGATAAAAAAATACGTTGAAGCCGAAAAAAAAAAACACATAATAGGATAAAGTGATCATATATGAGACAGAAAAATAACAATAAAAAAATTAAAAGTTTTAGTGCAACAACATAAAAAAAAATAACATAACAACTATTAAACAACATAAAAACAACCTACAACCTACCGTCAAAACAATAATAAGAAATAAGAAATGTAACTATGATCCGAATACACAATTTAATGACAAAGTATTAAAACAAAAGAATAAACAAAAGTTCAATAAAAAATACCAAATAAAATGAACAAAAAAAAAAGAAAAAGAAAGAAGAATGAAGAAAAAAAAAAAAA